GTGTCATCGATATTTCAAACTAAAGGTCGGTTGATGTGGTTAGTAGATGTTTTAAAAAGCCGAATATAAATTTTAAATCTACTTTAGTTTTTCAAAAATATATAGCGAAGAATTAAAAAAAAAAAAAAAACAACAACATAAGCATTATGGTTGAACAAAAAAAAAAAAAAAAAAAAAAATTAAGAAGCTCATAAAAGTTTAACACAAAGATTTGATTTTCATTATAAATGAGTTTATTAAAGATTAAATGAAAAATACTTTTTAAAAAAAAAAAAAATTAAAAATAAATGTGTATATATGTGAATATATACATAAAAATTTGTTTAAATTAAATTATAAATAAAGCAAAACAAACAATTTTAATTATATGAATTTATTAAATAATGATAAAAATTGTACTCCTTGCAGAAAAGTAATAAGTAAAGGTAAAAATTCGAAAAATAAAAAATTTACAAATTAAAGAAGGGTTTTGAAACTATTTATCGTAGCATTTGTCGTAAAGGTGGAAGAAAATTTTTACATTTACTTTAAGCGCCAAACACAACAAATGCGTTTGCATCGTGCATTCTGATGCGCCCAAATGACAAAGCACCGTTTGACATACAACTTGAGCAAAATCATATTTTGATATTTGCATCCATAATGCGTGATGCGCGCGAGTGCGCTTATCGCATTCATCGCTTAAATTGCTATCCCATTACGTTTATCAAACGGCTTTTGATTTCAAAAATTCGCAGGCTTTCATCAACACTCGTGGATTCTTTTTTTTAGCATTTGTACCCTCCCTTCTATTGGCCTTTTACCATTATGAGGTATCTAGAGATCAGCTAGAAATGAGTTACATCTCAATATTTTCAGTAGTTTAAAGGAACGGACGGCCGAAACTATGTGCATGTAAGAATTCAAAATCGCATTATTCTATCCTACTCTGCGCTTAAGTATCTTAGTGTGCCAATCGAGAACCGATTAAATGGTCCATCGAACTTATACAAAAAGTGTAAATGAAAATGGGTTTAGTATGCAAGTGCCAATGATAGCATGTCATGCATGTTGCCGTTGACGATCCGGGATGTGCTTTAAAGATTCCTAAATAAAAAAAGCACACACAAACACACACACACATACGTACACGCCCTGCTGAATTCGCAGCGCGAGAAAGTGTTTCTAATGTGTTCCGGTTGCCTTTACTAAATGTATTTCCTTTAAAACATAACATAGAAGACATAACCTTCAACCCTTTTTTTTTTCTCTCCCTCTTTTTTTGGGTTTTTTGTCCCGCTTTCGTTATAGAGATGCGGCCGCTCTAAGGATTGGAACGCGCGGGAAGAAAAAGTCATTACAATAATGGCTTAAGAACCCAAAGCGAAGTGGACAAAGTGCTTTCGACAAGAAAATAGAACGGGGAGGTTGTCTGTAGAAGTCTAGTTAAGACACAACTGATTTTTAAAACTCGCTAGGCATATAAGTCAGAAAGTGTAGAATAAATGATAACGGTCCGTACTTGTTAACCCAGATTGGCCATGAGACACAAACCGCATCACAATAATAATTTAAAAAAAATGATTATCAACAAAAAGAAAAAGAATCTGTTTCGATAGACTGCTTGACGGAGGTATACGAAATTGACATGACGAAATTAAAAGCTGTAAAGCACATCATATGGCCATTACTCGCGACAGCAGGAGTCGACGCTTTGTGCTCAGTAAACAGTAAACTCGCATATTTGCTCAAAGATAGAAGACGGGAAGAGTACTAAGTTAATCCTGGCAAAAGGAACTGCTGCCATTGCGAAGATAGAAATCCTGATGATATCGTAAAAATAATGTGATCAAACGAATTTCAATAGCGTTCAGCTTTGCGCCAAAACGCGCGGGAATGTGACAAATTTCGTTAAAATATGCTAAAAAGATTGTGGATTGATCATTAAAATTCATGGACAAACATTAGAGAGGCAAGCTTAAATCGATATAATGAAAGGTGGCCTATCTTAAGTCTTTCTAAATGCGGTTACATACATCCTCACGAAGTTACAAGTACCCCGTATTTAAATCTAATGTAACGGTGGGTCTACGCCCGGCTTGATAGATTCTCTTGTACTATAAGCCACTGTGGGACGCAAGTTAGTGACTGAAGCTTCTGCGGATTGAGCTTTAAATTTCTTTTTATGAAATTGGCATTTGCATCTCCATATCCATGACCACTGTTTGGGTAAAGATGTATATGAATTGACGCCCATCTTGGATGGAAGATATTCCTTGAAAATCAGTCAGTTTCTTTACTGTTTTAAACTTCACGTAAGTACTAAGATATCAATAGATGATAAACTAACTGTATTGCCTCTCATTTTTATCTTCCATTTTTTAATTTACATAGATTCACACGATTATCTCTTGTTTAAAAAGATGAACCCAGAAGCGTTACCAAAAATGAATGAGAAATGCTTCGGTAATCGATAACATATTAATTATGTGTACGATAGCACTATGGAGAAAAATGATTTTAATTTAAGTGGTATGGAAGAGTTCGTCCAAATTAATGCTAAATTTAATAAAGATAAAAATACGATACCGATATCGTGCTACAGATGTTAGATTTTTAGCAAATATATGAATGACTTCAACAAGTGGTATCAAATGTGATCACCCAGAACGGATTAGAGTTTTTAAAAATATTAAACCACCAGAGACGAACAATTATTAAATATGGTTAGTTACATTATTTGTTCCCCAGTTAGTAACTATAAATGAATCATGGTGTGAGAATTGTTGAAAATGTAAGTAGAATTTTAATGGCAAAGGCATAGTGCTTTATGTTTAAGCGGGGTTCAAAGACGCAATGTCAGAGGAACGCCAATCAAAGGTCTTCCAATTTCAACCGGAAGAAAGTTGTGCACAGATCGAATGTATTCGCATATGAGAAAAAATCATAAATTTATGTATGATAACGCGTTTCCGTGTTACTAACAGACCTTAAAATCATTACTATTAGGCATAACGCGGAATGCAGAACGCAATAGGTCAAATTCGATCAACGTATCGAATGGAGATTTCTACAACATAAAATACTTCTGAAATATATACAAGATTAGGATGTGTTAAGCAATTTTAAGCAAACCGCATATGCTTTTAATTTTCGAAATCTACTGCCGCTTGATTAATGCCAATGAGGAGGAGGAATAACTACTCAAATCTGTAATTAAAAAGGACCATCCATTAAAGAATCCCATAAATATTTATGCATATAGTGCAGAGTTGCTTAACACTATTTTGACGCTTATGGAACATTTGCTCATATCGAAGGACTTTTAGCCTAAAAACGAACAATGAATTATACCTTCAAGTTTATAACAAAAAAAAAAAAAAAAAAATTTGCAAGATTCCTTATGCGTAGACGACAAACGACGTAAATTTCACCACATAATCCGCAAAGAAAGATTTAAATAAAAGCACAATTTTCACAAAGTTGAGGGTGCTAAAGCCCATTAGAAGGTAGGTAAGAAGTGAATAAAAATAGTAATTATAAAATCTATGTATGTAATATGTAAAAATTGGTTACTGGAGATCTGAGTGGCAATAGAGCCACATAAGAGAAATACAATGTGCAAGAAATGCTATGCTACGTAAGTAAAGTTACGTAAAGTTAATAATATAAAGCAAAATTACGAGCGCTGAGGGAAGAAATAAACAATGAAAGGATGTTAAAATAATAAAAATGAAATCGAAAGGAACAAAGGCAGTAGCTTGACCGATGTTATGGTCCATACGCTCACTTGACCTTCAATATTTTTAGGCCAGCGCAGACTTCTGTGTGACTCCGGACACCCCATAAGCAGCCACAAAGATGGATTGGTAGAGAACGAACCGTCAATGACAAGGCAGCCAAGCGCCGTCCCTCAAATATGTGCTCCCCACGTAACGCGAAATAGCATCAACCGAAATTTAGAAACTCAAAATGGGAGAAAGTATTCGCAAAACAGAAGAGTGGCCGTTCGAGCAGGAATCCTAAAATTTAGCCAAATTCAAATGCCATTGCGATTAAAGGTAAACGCTCGTATGCAGAAATGTCGTATAGAGTGAAAACGGGAGATCAATTGAAACTTAACGAGATCTCAAAGAATGTAAAAGAGCTAAAAACGCTATTAGTCCACTACAAGCAGTTACGGGATTGAACAGCAGCACCGTTGGATGCAACGCCACAAGAAGATATCTGGCACTAAGCAGAATATTTGCCATACTCTTGTAAACCGCTAAAACAGACTGGCGAACAACTGCTAAGAGATCAAAGCAAGCCAATGGAATACTTCTCCTGCTTGAAATGCGAACATATAACAGGACAATGCAAAGGCCCGCGTGACAAGTCAAAGATCTACTGGAAATGAGGAGAAGACGGCGATATTGCTGTAAGAAATGCCTATTAGTCTCAAACGCGGCGTAACAGCTTAAGACCTACTTAAGCAAGCGATTGCCGAGAGGTAAGTACTTGGGACTTGATATTAATGATTGAATGATATAGGAACATGACGCGTGGCAAATAGGCAATTGATTCATCCAGAGAAGTAGCAATCTGGGTATGCGTTTTAGTAGGGGTACTGCATATCAATTGCAGGAGAAGCAGTGCACGATGCATAGCCGTCGGATAAAAATGAAGACGCATCCTTCGACGCGAACGCCTTTAATATCATGACTGACACGTGATAAAAAATGGAACACTAATTTAACACTTGCAGGACAAGCAAACAAACTTTTGATTGAAGCATATTATGCGACCAGATCAAGAAGAACTACCGGTACAAGAGAAAGCTCGGGTTATTGGTGAAGAAATAAAATGGATTCTTTGAGAAAGGGTTTCCTAACACATAGCCTTCTAAGAAGCTTTAGAATTCTACATTTTCATAAAATTTTTAACTTAGCATGGTAGTGGGCATAAGGTTGTAGAGTGTTTATGGCTTCTTAACTTATTGATTATACAATTATTAAAGTTACATTTCCAAGCTTTAGTTTATTCGAAATTCAAAAACGCAACTTAAAACTGTAAAGTAATACATACATATATATATAATATATATATATAATAAAGGATCTTTTTGTCATTTCTTTTTTTAGGAAATGTCGTCTTCTACATCGATTGATTCTGAACTAGTTGTTTAACCAATTTCGGCAAGTACCTCATACGGCGACCTAAGTCACTTTTTTTTATTTATCTTCAACGGCTTGTTCTACAGGGTAGATTAAGTTTGTACGGACGTCTATAACACCCATAAAGGCTTCAGATAGACCAAGGTTTTACTATACCTGTCGATTCAGAATCATTTCAGCTTGCCTGTCCGTCTGATGTCTGTCCATGTACTTTTGTTTTCAAGCTACAGGTCGCCATTTTTGAGATATTTTGGTGAGATTTTTTGTACACTGAAGTGCTTCGACTCAAGCTGCAAAACTATTACAAATAGTTCGGAGAGGTCTTGGTATGGGAAAAAAATACAATTTTCAAAGTCTTTCGGCGAAATTCACTAAGTAATAATATTTTGACATTATAAATAAATGTGAAAAATTTGGTTCGGCTGGGGCAATTTGTTAACCACGAAAGTCTATTTTTTGAATACCGCAGCATATAAGGATCCCCATGGATTTATGATGTAAGCAATTCATGAAAGCAATTTGACATAAAAATTAAGTGAACCAAATTTGAACCACATTCGTTTATTTTTTTGACGCAATACTAAGCCCATCAGGAAAGGTTCGAATATTTAATATTTGATGATGAAAAAGTGGTCTATAGCAGCAATTTTGCAAAAAAAAAAAGAGATTAAAGTTAAAGAATTTGGATCAGATAGTTCCCCTATAGAAGCTATCATGAAAAGCGAAACTTTATGTCGAGAAAAAGTCGAATTTCTACTGTTTTGTGACGAAGATTGAGAAATAATAAAATTTTTACGAATCAAAATAAATTTGCTGAATTTGTATCACATCAGACGATGTTTTGGGCATCGTTCTATATGCGGGCTTTCATGAAAAGTATGCCTTTGCGTAAAAATAGAGTAAACTTTTTGGTGTATTATTACCATACCGACTGAATAACGTAGGCACAGTGATGTACGAAATGGTGGTTGGTTGGACATATCCGACCCATGATTTTCTTACTTGTTTTATAAATGAATAATTGCTACGGAAGACAGTTCTTGCCTTGAACTTAGGATTTTGGAGTCTTGTAATTCGGAAGACATTGAATCCATCTGCACGCTCAAGCTTACCCTATACGACCGTTCAGTTACTCATAGAACACCGTATTTTGAAAGGTCATTATATGGAAAGTGGTCGAAAAGCTATTCTGATCCGAATCATTTTCAATAGCATTGTCCGTCCTTGGGCCAAAACACGTCGGTGTAGCAAATTTCATCAAAAATTACAATTTTTAGGTTGAACACAAGAAAATAAGGCATACAGGCGGACAGACAAGTTTGAAGCGGTATAATAAACGGTACGTTTATCTCAAGTCGCCCGTGGTATTACATACCAAAACGCAAGTAATAACAATAACGCTTAGAAAGGATCTTCTCAATGGCCATATTTCATTCGTAAATTGAACGTAAGTAATGTTAAAGCATAAAATTGATGTTTCTTCGAATGCAAATTCATTATAAGTCCGATTGCCTTCGTTAAAACTTTGAACAAATAATGTACGCATAGTACTCTCTGATGACTTTTCTGAAAGGAGATTTTTTTGCGTTCACTTTAAAGGACTTACATCTGTAAGCATCATAATAAGCATCATATATATTAAGGGACATCGATAACAAATGAACTTTTACAACAACAACAAACGATACATATTATACATAAAACAAACGACAACGTATTTATATATATATATATATATATATATATATATAGGTAGGTATAATGATTTTTAACAACAAATGGCGATAAGCAGAAAATGCGTAAATTAAAACAAAAAATGTTATAAAATAAATGACTAAAAGTGAATTAAAACAGGAAATCTAAAACGTTAAATATTAAGCCAAGAAAATTGCTGTTACCAACACTACCGCCAGTACCACCACCACTGTCCCCGTTAACGCTACGGCGGGTGCTATTATTCAGATCTAAGCGTTGCTGAACATTACTATAGCGACCAGCTGAAGCTGTAGTCATAGGGGCCTGCAAACTGGCATTAAATGATTGGTATAATGAGGATGATTGAGATGGCGAACGTTGACGTATTAACGCTTGCTGTTGCCGTAATCGTCGACGTTGCATAATAGGTGTTGAGTGGCGAAAACGTGAGGTGAACTCATAGTCGATTTCTCCATTTATTAAAGCGTCATTGCAGTTAGCAATGGGGTTTGATAATCTGGTTGCAGTGGTGACATTGGGGTTAGCGGTTGTGTTGGTGTTAGCAATATTGGGATTAACTTTATTATTAATAAATGAACAGGAATTATCATCTTGTCGCGGGCTATGATAAGATAGCTTGGAGCTTGCTATGTAAAAAACTCCCTCCTCACCCTCATTTCTCTTTTGGTCCTCGTCGTGATATTGAATGCTTTCCTTATTTTTACGATTTGCTTTCAATAAGGGTTCAATTGAATAATAATGATTTGCAATATTATGATTAGCATGCATATGGTGATTAGTTGGTTTATGTTCATAATGTTGTAAATGTTGCAGATGTGTTGTAGTCGCTGTTTGTTGCTCTTGTTCTTGTTCTTGTAGTTGTTGCAGTTGTTGATGCATCAGTTCCATGGAATGGCATTTATTAAGTGAAATTTTTGTCGTATGGTGGCGATTATTTGAAGTGTAGTAATTACTATTACTTTTGTTGTTGTTATTATTATTGCTGTTATTGTTTGCAATATTGTTATTGTTATTTTCTTTATTATGGATGTCAGTGGTGGTGGTGGTATTGGTGGTGGTGGTGGTGGTGGTGGTGGTGATGGTAGTTGTGGTGTTGGTAAAAGTAGATGTTGAGTTTTTTAGATTTTTATCATCAACAAAGTTATATCTACCGTAATTATTGTCCAATAGCATTGCAGGGCATCCTCCATCTCTAACAGCTACGTCGGCACAACCGCTTGAGGAGACAGTATTCGTTGTAGGAATTTTTCGTGCTGCTTTCGGCTGTTGCATGGAATGTAAACTTGCACTGGCACCTTGGAAGCATTCTTCGTCGGTGTCCATATGCTCTGGCGCCAAATGGAAACTTTGCCTCTGTAATTGGTGTTGTTGATGTTGGTGAGGCTGCTGTGATGTTGGCTGCTTATAATAAAGGAATGTGGTATTATTAAGAACTCCGGCGGTTTGGTCTTGCATAGGCGAGGAGACATTAGATACCGCAGACCTTTCACTATGACGCATATCTCTTGTACTGCCACCACCTAAATAACCGACCGGATATTCATGCTCGTGTTGGTTTTGCTGTTGTTGATGTTGTTGTTGTTGGTGTTGTTGTAAATAACAATTGCTGCAGGTATTTGCTGGTATTTGTATGATATCATCCACACACAATATATCATCATCTTTGGGTCCCAAAAACCATTCTGAACGTGTGCGCATGCGGGCTGCCTGACGTTCATGGACCTGTGTGTAGTAATTGTGGTTTTGTTGTAATTGTATTTGTTTTTGAGTGTAATTCATTACGTTTTTTTTTTTTATTATTATTATTATTATTATTATCGTTAAAAACATAAAAAAAAAAAAAAAAAAAGTGATGAAATATATGTGTGCGTACATATTAAGTGTTTATTGTGTTCGTTTTGATTTCAATTGTTTTAAAAAATTTAAGGGATTATTGCTATAAGCAAACATACATTGGACTTTAAATCCATCATTATTTAGCATATTGTTGTTGTTGTTGATTTAAACATATATATACATATATACATATATATATATATATATATATATATATATATATATATATATTTAAAATAATTTTGTTAAAACAATAGATAAATAGCTTTTTATATATAAGAGTCACATTTACAAAGTTGATGAAAAAAGAAGAAGAAAGAAGATAAGAAGAGAGAGAAACCACTCTTATTAAATATTAATTTGTTTTAATAGCATATTACGGAGTGAGAGACAAGAACAATGAAACACACTGAAAATTGTTGAATTAATGAAGACGGCAAAGACAAAAATAAGAAGGACACCTTCAGGAGATAGAGGGTTATAAGAATAAAAGAAATGCCGCCAAAAGTTATAGAGGATAATATAATATTCATACAACCTAAACAAATAGTTGGACTAACACATAAGCCCGTAACAAAAAACAAGTAAACTCAACAAATGCCTTGTCATATGTTTAGGTTATGTCCGAGCTCGGCGATCCTCAAATGTTAGTTTAAGCCGATTAGAGACTTGAATTCAATCACTGGCAAGTCAACACGAGGAACCTCTCTTGAGATGAGTTTGCAACACATTTGGACTTACAGCTATACAGTTTTCATATAAGACGACGCCTGCCTTTTTGCGAGTTCGTAAAGAGGCTCCGCTTTGACGCACATTTTTTCTATCCACATTTCTTGCTCGGTTTAACATTGTTGGGAATATTCTTTAAACTATCTGCATAAGCTGTCGATTTGACTCATTGAACAATCATCCCATATGCTTCAATGAACAGCCTGTGAACAATTGTAACCATTTTCACTCTCTTTGACTTTACAGCTCTGCTATCTGTAAATACGTATTGTCCGGTAAAATGTGGTCCATCCTTGGTATGATGATAGCTCGAATTAAAGAAAAAAGCTCCTTGGGCCGGTTAGTTTTCTTTTCGAACATATATGAAGTCCACGATCCACGGACTGAACGTTTCAATAACAACTACGAACGAGTTTAGGTAAACTTTTATAAAAATTT